TACTTACAACATGTAAGATCTTATATGTTGTAATTATAACTCGCTTGATTTAAAAGTTTCCCTGAAAATGTATTTAAAGAAATATTACCTTAATATAATAAGAGGAAAATGAACGATGATAAAATCAATAATTATATCAATACAAAATGCTATGAGTGTTGTCACTTCAAAAAAGAAAATATGGAATTGTATAAATTAAATTTGCCTAATGAAATAGTGAATAATATTATTAATTATTCAATGGATGAAGAAGATTTGTGCGAAAATTGTAAAACCTGGAGAGATAACCAAGCTATAATCAATTGTGTGTTGAGAAAAAAAGAAGACATAGAAATGTAGAAGATGACATTTTGATATTTTTAACTGTAAAAAATACCACCTTACGATTATGTTAAACAGTTTCTTAAAATCAGTAAGAAAAATATGTAATGATTGCTGATATATTATTGATGTTGTGTTATAGTCAAAAGAAAGGAGAAGATATTAAAGAATATATCAAATTTTATATTGGAATTTATAAAAAGTTTAATGTTAAAAATACAGTGAGAGATATTAATATTATTTTTAAATTGATGTATGACTGAAGTAATATTTGTCAATTAAATTATTATCCTGTACTGAGATTATAACCATAATATAATAATAACATGTAAGATCTTATATGTTGTAATTATAGTGGTAAAAATATTTCTATAAATATATAGTTTCTCTGAAAAAGTGCTTAAAGAAATATTACCTTGATATATTAAGTAAAGTATGCGCGACATTAATAATCTACCATTGGAAATTAGATTGAATATTATGTCATATCACTGTTATGAGATATGTCCTTACAGGTTTAATGATATTCTTAAAAACCATTTTCCAACTTGGGAAAGAGTAAAAAGAAACCCATTCTGGGCAATGACTTTTCCTGAAGCATTGGATGATACCAAATCTGACTATGAAATATATTTAGAATTGAAAGCGTTCTATAATTATTCCTACATATATGATATTGAAAATAAATTTAAACAGCTCTGGTTCATTGATAGTATTGATGACAAAAGAAAACACTTGAGAATTGGTTATTACGACGCAATGAGAGCACTGTTGGAAATGATGCCATTCAGAACAGAGGCAGCATGGCATATCCGATTTTATCATATATTAAGCACGGAAGACTTCTATGACGAGGATGAAGAATTTAGCGATAATGAAAGCACGGCTAGCTATTATTGAGATGAATGTTTCAGTTCTTGATTATACTATACTTACAACATATAAGATCTTATATGTTGTAATTTTAGTTTAATTTTCCCGTATAAGCCGTGGAGGTGCTTTCCTACATAGGCCTTTCCCATCCGCATATTGCCATCCAATGTCACACAGATTTGTTTCAAGATTTGGGTTAGCGGTTTTAATTCTCCCTTTTCCATTGGTTAACCTTTTTTCGGGGCGAACATAGGGTTCTTTTTTAGACTGTTCGTATTTGTTGGAAATGGGAAAGGGTTGCAGTTTGGATCAAGCGAGAAATTATTGAGATCTTGGGGTTGCGATCTTGGGAATGAAAAAATGTTGGTATGTAGCTTGGATTTTTTTGGTGGGATTTGTTGAGGTGGTATGTAGTTATGATTGTTGTTATTGAATGAGTGTAAGGGTGATGTTGAGATGGGGTAAGAAATGAAGATGGGTATGTGAATATGTGTTTTTTGCGTTGGATTGGGTGGGTGATTGAATTTGAATGTTGAAAATGGGCTGTTTTAGTGGGCGTATTCAGAATGTGCCCAAAAGTGTGGGGGGGACCCTAGGACCGGATGGCAAAATGCGGACGGGAAAGCCCCTGTCTAACTCCTTCAGCCCTTGTCAAAGATAGGTACATCATCTACGATGAGGACACCCCTACAAGGTCCAACCATTTAACAGTGAGAGAGACCTGAGCCCTCCCCTGCAAAGTGAGTATAATTGCAAACAGGTTTCCACTAGGTTCATGCTCCGAAAACTGCATCCGCCGTCTGTCTTGGAGCTGCTTGGCAATTTCTAGATTTGCAAACTCTAAACGGTTGGTTCAAATGCGTTGGATCAAACCAAGCTAATAGCCATGTGTTGGCTCGGTCCTTTGGCGTCAACTCCAGCAACGGGAGAACCATGATGCGTTTGCCGTCTTGCAGTTCCCGCGGCGATCCCGGCCAATTCCGCGCCTTGCTCCGGCCAATTCCGCGCCTTGCTCCAGCTGGAGCAAGGAGGGGCCAAGGAGATGGCTAATCACTCCAATGCCGCAGCACGTTGACAATCTGCGGGTCGGTCAGGTCGAAGCCACCCAGCACATCGAGCGCAATGGCGAAAAGCGACACCCGGCCAGCCCCCACAAAAGCTTTGCCAGACAGCGATGCTTTGGCTTCCAAGTCACTTGCCGGACGTGCTTCGCTTGCGCAATCCGCTCTGCGACCGCGGCGCTGTTTGCCAGCGCGCATCGCTCGGAAGTCAGCGCTTGCAAATAGTCGCCCATAGCCGTTTATGATCGCCGGCCATCTTGCGCTCAAGGCTGTGCTGGGTACACTGTGTCCCTGCACACCTCTTGCTCAGCATGCTCTTCCAAGTCCCACCCACTGAGCAGCCCCACACATCCCACACAGCCTGCTCTGCAGGCCCGCCATGAGCCCACGCCACGAGGCGCGCAAACAAAAGCTTTTCCACACATCGCAAGGCTAGCACCATGCAAACAACGCCCACAAGCTTCCAAAGCGGTCGAGAAATGAAAAACTAGCACTTGCAGCCTGGCCTTGATTTTACAGCACTGGCAAGCCACGGTTTGCAACCCCAACTTCTGGCGGGGACAGGGTCAAAGCGTCGCAAGATGTGCCCAGTTAACAGCTGCGCCTGGCATGTTGACGCCTGCCTCAGCGTGGTGCGGGCGGTCTGTGCTTTCAGACAAATCCGCTTACGCCCCGCGGCCTGAAGCAGATTCTTGGCTACGCAAGCAGATTTTCATGAAGACATCTGCCGACAGGCTGGCAAAACCGCTTACTCCCCGAGGCCGGTAGCAGATTTGGTACACACTGGCAACAAGACGTTTCCACCGGCGAAATCATTGTTATCTTGGCTGGGTCGCGGCCGGATCGCGGCCCGATGGCTGCCAGCTCGCGACCGGATCGCGGACGGATCGCGGCCTCACAGCTGGGTGGGGCTGCCCTCAGCCAGTCAGCGTTTGTGAGAAAAGAAGACTATTGAGAGCATTTTTGGTTAAACCTCTCGATCCCAGCGCAGCTTTCCACATCCTTTCCACACCCTCGACGCAGCTCTTCGAGAGCCAGGGCATGGCTTCAACACCCCAAACCCAGACACAGCTTCCAACCGCCCAGGCCCTTTCCAACAACGCATGCGCAGCTGTCAACAGACCCGGCGCAGCCTTCAATGAGTGCAGACCATCAACATCCAAAGCAGAGCTGTCAACAGCCCAGGCACAGCAAACAACCGCCAACCAAAGCTCCTAAACTTCGCTGCCAACAGCACAGGCCACTTTCAATAGCCAAGGCGCCGCAAGCAACAGCCCATCATCCCAGGCCCAGCCGTCAATAGCCCAAGCGCAGCTTCAACAGCCCAGGCACATCTGTCACCGTACCGGGCGCAAGCCTTAAAATGCATGAAACACAAACGCACGGGGTTCCTGGGGCCCCCATAAGCGGATCATCGATAGACCAATACTGGTTTCAAATTGCTAGTTAAGCATTGGGCTTTCAGGCCTTTGACAAAAGCATCTACAATGTAGGGCGCCGTCTAGGATAAGGGGTCAGCATGCTTGCTCAACGGCATTCATTAGGGGAACTCGTGTTCTTGAGGGAACTTGGCTTCAGGGAATTCGTCTTCGCAGTTTGTCTTCGGGGGGGAATTCGTCTTCGGAAATTCGTCTTCACAATTCGTCTTTGGGAGGGAATTCGGCTTCGGGGGAGAATTCGGCTTCGGCGAATTCGTCTTCGCAATTCGTCTTCGGGGGTGAATTCGGCTTCGGGGGAGAATTCGGCTTCGGGGAATTCGTCTTCGCAATATGTCTTCGGGGGGAATTCGTCTTCGGGAAATTGCCTTCGCAAGTCGTCTTCGGCAGCTTCGGGAGGGAGCTTGGCTCCGGCGAATTCGTCTGCGCAAATCGTCTTCGGGTTGGAATTCGTCTTCGGGAATTCGTCTTCGCAATTCGTCTTCGCGGGGGAATTCGGCTTCGGGACGGAATTCGGCTTCGGGAATTCGTCTTCGCAAATCGTCTTCGGGTTGGAACTCGTTTTCGGGAATTCGTCTTCGCAATTCGTCTTCGTCTGCGGGTCGAAAAGTACTACCGCCCCAGCGGCTGCAATGTATATTTATATATATATAATGTGTATCAATGTATGTATGTATGTATGAATGTATGTATGTATGTATGTATGTATGTATGTATGTGTGTGTGTATGTATGTGTATGTATGTGTATGTATGTATATGTATGTATATGTATGTATATGTATGTATATGTATGTATATGTATGTATATGTATGTATATGTATGTATATGTATGTATATGTGTGTATATGTATGTATATGTATGTATATGTATGTATATGTATGTATATGTATGTATATGTATGTATATGTGTGTATATGTATGTATATGTATGAAAATGTATGTAAATGTATGAAAATGTATGAACATGTATGAAGTTGTATGTATATGTATGTATATGTATGTATATGTATGTATATGTATGTATATGTATGTATATGTATGTATATGTATGTATATGTATGTATATGTATGTATATGTATGTATATGTATGTATGTATGTATGTATGTATGTGTGTAGGTAAGTAGGTAGGTAGGTCTGTATGTACGTACGTATATTCTGTACACGTGTCTGTCCTTTGTCGGCATTTCCTGTCAGAAATGGACCAAATGCAACAGTTGCTCTTGGACTTTCAAAAGCAAACACCGTCCAAAAGGGATCAATGCCCCCAGTACTTCTTTGAATGAAACAAGCCCTTCTGCCAGTGCCTGCATCAGCATATCTGCTGCCCGGGACCAGTCCTTGGGTCAGACTCTGCGCGTGCGAACTCTCTGAACGGATCCCCGTCTGTGCGACTCTCTCTCCTCTCTCTTCGCGCTAGCCAGCTTGTCTCACTGGTAAAGCCGTAGGCATGTCTTTGCAAAACGTGACGATATGAAACATCAAAAGCCCACAAAAAAAAACTCTGTAGGTGTCCAATCTCTTTTGAAGTAAGACTGAGGCCTTAAAATAGTTCGACGTGTGGCAGGCCTGGACGGCAGAAAGACGAAGCTGCTCCACCGCGGCGGGCACCGTGGGCTCTCGGGACAGGAGCTCCCCTCTCCAGAGCAAGCCCTCGGGCCTCGGGCTAGGCGCTCAGCGCTGAGGCCATCAGACGAAGTCGACAAGTTGATTGGAACAAGAAGGAAGTGGAGAAGGATGGTGAGTAATGAGTCTAATGAGTTAGTGGAGAAGGATGGAGAACATGCGGAATGATGATGAGAAAGTCATGGGCAAACTCTGGAGAAGGATGGGGGCATCTTGGGAACATCACGGGAATTCATGGCGACATGATGAGAAAATCATGGGGGAAACTGGGTAACTCATCAAATGTTCATGAGACTATGATGGGAGCGTGATGCTACCATGGGCAATGCTGGGTGGAGATCACTCAAACAGAAATATGATCTCCAATATGATCCTGGCACACATGGCTTCACACGGGTATGGGTTGACAAGGGTTCGATGGTTTTCGCATCACTCGTAAAAAAGGATGATCGTATCACTCGTAAAAAAAGGATGATCCTGTTGCGGTCACGCTTTTTGGACACGACAATTTTGCTAGGCGCCTTAGGCGGCTGTCAGAATGGTGCGTCAGGCTCAGCCAGGCGGCGTCTCTTCGCAGACTCCCTCCCCCTCGAGAGGAACCCAAAGAGAGGAACGGCCCTGCTGGCGCAGACGCGTGGGGTTGCCTGGCCGAGGCCAACTTTTCCCGCTTTGGTTCAGCAAGGGAAACACAAACATTCCGCAGGCCAGACCCGACATCTGGCATCATCTGGCAAATGCAGGGCCTCTTCCCCGAAGCGCTCCCGGTTCCGGCCTGCGTCTCGACTGTCTTGGATGGACAGGAGCTCACTTAAGCCGCCCGACGGATCATCAAGGCACTCCTTGCAATCCCGAAATTCAAGGCACGAGGATTCTTGCCATTCGCAACGCTCACCCTCGCAAAAAATCCCGAGTCACACTGAACAACATTGAAGAACACCCGGACACTTCAGCCGTTCTCTACTCAAAACCCAAGGCTCGATCTGGAAGAGGTGGCGCTTCCGGTCCCACCACAGGCCCGCCAGCCGATGTGGCCGGGACTGCGTCAGCTCGCAATAGGTCTGCCGGAAGTCGTTCACCGCCCGCAAATCAGCAGAGCTGATCACAGCGTGGTCAGGAAGCCGAAAGGTCCTGCTCAAATGCTGAAATGCACTTGCAAAATGAAGCGTGAAATCAGCACTGGACGCGAAGACATCTTGCCGTGCGCCAGACTGCCAGGGTCCGTGCCTCTCCCACATCCACAGACCTCGAACTTCAAATTCCTGACAGCGAGGTTCAACCACGGTTACAAAAGTACACTGGATGCTTCAGCAGGGTTGCAATGAGGTGGCTTCCACGTGCAGCCTGGGTACTTATTTGGGATCTACAGAGTATGATTCATGTTGAGTGGTTGAGTAGTTTAGTATTGCGCAAGGCTTCAAGGCGAAAGCTCGCGGCCCAAGTGTCGTGGGGCTCCAGGGACTCGGTGGGCGCAACCAGCGCCGTCATCGCCGCCTCCCGGGGCACGCCCCCGGCCAGGAGCCACAGCAGGGCCGTGCGCCCGCCCTGCTCGTCCGGCAGCACCGACACCCCCCGCAGCATCGTCACCTTGGCCATTGGCGCTCATATATATATATAGTTATATAGATATATTTTTGCGTTCGGTCTTGGCTGTTCAATTTTTCTGTTCCGGATCGAAGCTCCTTTGCCCGTTCCTGGTCTCGGACGGCACCCGAAATAGCAACTAACGCCTTGTCGCGGCCGTTTTTGTCGGGCGGCTCGGCGCTCGGTGTGGTGATCATGGCGGTAGTCCCCCCCACAGGCCACGGCAAAGCGCTTGGGACGGCTGCGGGTGCTGGGCGGGCAGCCCTGGATCTGCATCAGGGAAGCGGCCTGGGCCTTCCAGTTCAGGCAGACCTAAGTCTCGCGTCATGCGCATGTGACACAACTTTACTTACAACTTGTGTCCTCGATTGTCCAGAAACTTCTGAACTTCTCGGCCACTGCGCTCTGCGCAGCACTTGAGCCCCTTTTGCCAGGTGCGCGTGCGTAGAATTGTGATATAACATTCAACCCTGGAGGTCACTTGGCATGTTCAACCAAACCCCTGCCTACTTTCTGTTCAAGAGCTCTGCAGTCTCTGCAGGCCTTGCAAGCTAAGCACCCCACTTCTTTGAGGCCTCTTCCACTGCGAAAGGGCATGTACCAGTTCAATGCCTCAATCGAGATGTGTTGGCAGGGAGAGTGGCGAAAGCACATGCTGGATGATTTCAGGTTAGGGTTTCTTCGGGGTTGGCTTCAGGTTGGCTTCAGGTTGGTTCAGGCTTGGGCCCGTTCCTTTGGGGCCCGTGAGGTGCAACTTGCCTTAAGTCGGAGAATTGTACATCTTTCTTGCCAGAGTCTTCGTAGGAGGGAAGGCTCTGTTTATCACTTCAAGAAAACAAAGAGTAAGCAAGTGGCTTGCTTGTGTCGTGTTGGTTATAGGAAGTATCTTTCTTTTGGATATCCTGCTGCTCTATATTCCACAGAGGCCACGCACAGCCGCAAGACGTCCCTTGTAAGTGGCTGTGGATGGTGTTGCATGGGGTTGGTTGACATAGGGCTGGTTTCGGGATGGCGCAGGCTTTGGGTTTAGTTGGGATCGGGGCTGAAATTCAGGGCTGGTGAAGCTTGGGGTCGGCCAAGGTTTGTTTGGGGCTTGTTGAGGTTGACTTTGAGTGTGGCTAAGGGTGTGATTCAAAATGGCCAGGGCAAAAAAGAGTCATACAAGGTCTCAGGTTGATACTGGATTTGTTCAGGGCTGCTGTAGGGCTGCTTTGGGGCTGGTCAGGGTTGATTCAGTGGATTGGAGGTTGGTTTGGGGGGGTGATCTTGGAGGAAGGGTCGGTTCAAGCTCGGCTTATGAGCTAGGCCCAGCCGGACAATGCTGAAACATTCCAACCTTGCCAAGCAAACCAGCCATCCCACCCCTTCCCAACAGTCCCAACCTCTGTGCTCTCAATTCTGTAGGTGCTTTGAACCTTTGTTCCCAATCTTGTCTGTCCGTTCTCAGGTTTTTGCGCAGGTGCTTTCTGAATTGTCTGCATTTTGTCTTAAGCTTGAGCAACGAACGGCATTTGTTAGGGGGATACTGTCGTGCTTGCAAGCGTGAACACCTCCAACATTGCACTCAACAAACCCAAAGTCGCTTGACATCAAAACACAGATTCTCTGGACAGCTGTAAGTCCTTGCATCATCCTTCCGCAAATGTGCAACCAGCCCTGTTGACCAGTTGACCTCACATGCGGCAAAGCTTCGCAGGGATGGTTCGGCTGCTTGATCTTCAGGTTGTCGATGCTCGCCTTGCCATTGAAGGGGCAACACAGGCGATAGAGCAGCTCGGCATCCAGCACCAGCCCTTCCGCATCTTGCAGCTCGTCACGCTCGGACGTGCAGGTCACGCAGCTCCCATTTGGGACCGCCAGGATCTGCAGCGGCTTCACGCCCAGCTTCTGGAGAAAAAGCTCCGCTTGCTTCACTTCAGCCGGATCCTGCCTGAGCAACATGCGACCGAATCTATACCAGTTCTTCACCAAGCGAGCCTCAAGCCCAGCTACGGTGACTAGGACCTTCTCTTATGTACTCCTAGGTAGCTCCCAAATGGCCCGCCAATCTCTGGTCAAATGGCGGCCAGCTCAATGTAGCGCGTGGGTCCAGCTGCCCAGTCCTCAGCAGATCCCTAAGGGTTCAGGGAAAATCATGGGCCTTGGAGCTGACAAGCCCGGGTCCTCGTTTGAAGCTTCAGGACTTACGTTGCATCTCCTTCTCGCACCGCGCCACGAATGGTCACCGTGATCAAGAGTGTCAACAGGTGAGTCACAGTGAATGCCAAGCAAGGCAAGTCTCTGCACGGCACGCCAGTAATCTTCATAGCTGCCCTTGCCGTAGAGCCTGGGGCTCTGCCCCACTGCTAGGAAGCCACCTATCCGATCTCAAACTGTGAGCTCTCGGCAATGATTCATCGTATTCACCAAAAACCAGCACAACCTTTCCAAAGTGCGCAGCAGTGCACTCTGCAAATTTTAGGGAACCTTGACTCGCTTGACTCACTTGACTCGCTTGATTCATTGGATTCATTGGATTCATTTGTTCCTCCAACTATCCTTCATTTCCATCCGACGCGGTGGGTGGCCTGGCGCTAGTCCCCAGGTGAGCAGCGCCAGCAACTTCTGCGGCCTCACCTTCATGTGCTCCATGGCCGAATCCTCGCCAAGCCGCAGTCCCATGCTTGACATCAAAGCCATCGGACATGTAAGGGGTGTCCTTGTTTGAGGGAACCTCTTTGTGGACGGTCTTAAAGGGAAACCAAATGAAAAACACCCTCCCGTCAAAAGAGACACACCCATATGTTAAAAAGCAAACTGTGATGGCTTCATGGGGGCAACGTGATGCCATACGAGCAGCGATTTTGTCTTGTTGGTTCCAGAACTTCCCCCGTGCCAACTCCAGAAGATCTTCCAAATGTCGCCGCTGGGCGGAATTTTGTGGCAGCAGGCGCCTCGGGTTGTTCTGGATCCCTGAGCAAAACCATGAGAGCTATTCCTATGAAGTGAACTGGGCCGCTGGTTTGTTCATGAGCTGCCTGATGTCCTGATCATAGAAGCTTTGGGCGCATTCCCACGAGTGAAAACCAGTGCGGGAAATGAACGATAGACTAAAGCTTTGCCAACTCTGTGAGACCAGGTCTCAGCATGGCTCGCCACAGGTCCACCACTTTGTTTGTGAACTGCGTCCAGAGCCGTTCATGTATAGACCAATGGCATGACATTGTCCTCTGGACCTTCCCCAAGCCTTGGCTGACATGCGTGCAAGGGCACGCAGTGCCTGGATGAGGCAAATACAAATCTGTGGAAACAAATTGGATACAAAGACATTGTCGCAAGACGAGAGGCCCCCACCCTTTTTCAACCACTCCTTGCACATGTTGTAAATGGTCAGTGGTTCAGACCGCCACTGGCCATCTGCTTGGCGCCGAGCAGAGATGGTATCCCGCAGGAGCGTGACGTCGCTGGGCTCCAACCATTCTGTCGGGCAACGGGCTCATGCCCTGGGAGCCTTCAAATGGATCAGGAAAATATGAAATTATGTGAAATTCTCGAAGGTTGAACGGCTCGGCCAACTCGGACTAAGGCAGGATAGTCCGCATCACCAAACCCAAACCCGAACACTCTGGCTGAGAGCATGCTCGTGCAACAGGTGCACTTCACTTCGCGAACCGCACTCCCTGAGCCCACACCCGCAACAAGCGAAAAAGGCCCAAACCGTGCCTCGGGTGCTGAAGGGCGTACGGAAGACGTCGCAGCTGGGCGTCAGCGACAAGGCCGCCGCCAGCACGGCGGCGGCAGCGCTGCAGCGGAGGCCGTAGCCCAAAATCACCAGCCGGGCCAGGGACACCTACGGATTCTCCAAAAAAACTGTCAAAGTTTAACGTCCGGGGCCAAGGGTGGAGAAAGAGCCGCACAGACTTTCACCTTGAACATTGGCAAACAAGTCATGAGACCTGACATGACCTGACCAAGGAACAAAAGAACAGGGTGTCAAGTGAGAGCGTGTGGCCTAATGAGACATAGCTTGCGTGGTCTGCATGGCATGGATGTGTTTTGCGGCGAGCTTACTAGGCCAACTTGTGTCTGTCGGCGCAAATCTTCATAGTCCACTGCATGCCTCACTCGGTTTGAAAGCCTCTTGGGACCGATAAGAAATGTTCTCGCACAGATCACATTGAGGTGAAAAGCTCGACATAGTTCCGCCTCCGTCGGCAACTTCAAGCAGGCTATGCCCAAGGCTGTAGGCCGCTCCCATTCTGTTAGAGCCCCCAGCTCCTGATGGCTGGCCGGAATCCTTGCAACGCTTCTGCACTTCACACAAAGCACACAAAGGACACATGAGAACCAAAACTTCAGAATTTAGCATGTGGCGCAAATTGCGCTGACAAAATCCACACCCGGCGTGTACTCAATTGTCAACCCTTGATCTGCACGTGATTGCGATTCTCTCCTGAAGGTCTATCATGGCAGTGCTGACTCGCTCTATTCTCGGCGGCGACGGCAGTAGGTTCAGCACGTCCACCTCAGATACGTGTCACTCCTGAATCCCCAGCGATACAATTACATCTGCGCGCGCTTCTGTGCGCTCGGAAGTGCCAGCTCGCCAAGGAAAGAGAACAGAACCCGAAAAGCAAAAAAGAAAAGCAAGAAAAAAAATAAGAAAAGACAAATAAGGAGAAAAATAAGGAGAAAAATAAGGAGAAAAAAGGAGTTGCGCTGTCTCCTTTGACTCGCGGCCATGTGCAAATCCGCCAAGGAGAGGTCCTCCTCCGCCGTCCACGCAGGTGGCCCACGGCCCGAGGGCCGAGTCCTCCAGAGCCCCGCGTCGCCGTCGAAGTAGTCCACCATGTGCTGGCCCTCCACGCCCTCCGGCGACTTCCCCCGAGAAAAAAACCGCCTCTTGAAGTGGATTTAAAGACAAGGAATCGAACGCCGAGGATTTAAAGAATGCCCAGGAAGCGCTGGCACGCAAAGAACTGGGGGGTTAGAATGGTTAGGCTGCCAAACAAACGCCAAGGGGAGGAAAAAGAAACATCCCAAGTCGATCCAAGTGCTGAAAAGCGTCGCTGGCCCGTTTGCTGTCGTTTTTCTGGGGCGGGTTCCTTGAGGTCTGTGTTCATTCTGCTTGCTTCACGCCGTGCTTTGTCGGTGAAGTTTGCTTTGTTCTTGTGTGTCTGCTTCTGCTTGCTGACTTTCAAGCAAGTAGCTAACCGCATGTCTGGGAGTCATTTGCTTGCAGCGTTGTGTGTTTTGTAACTACTTCTGCAAAGTGAACGAACGTCTGTCCAAGTTGCCTCAAACCTGCTGCTGTTAGGAGCTGATGTTCAAGCCCTGGTTTGCAGGGTCCGGGGCCATACCGACTTGCGAGGCGTCCTTGAGCACCACTGGCAGCTCCGCGCGAATCAGCGGCGGGGCGCTGAGAATTTCCGCCAGGTGCGCTGCCTCCAGTGCCACCCTGGTCAGGGGCGACCGCTCCACGCCGCTTTGGTCATAGGCCGCAAGCTCAGCATAGAGCCTGACGAAAGCCAGCCGATGCAAGCCCATCGAAAGCCGATCGAAAGCCCCAAACGAGTTGGACTGGTTTCAAGCTCACATCCAACTGTCTTGTGACACAGCCCCTCGGCGTGAACAGTAGAGCCAGCGAAGCTGGGGCCGGAAGCTGCGACACAATCAACCTTTGCTTGGCTGATTGAACCTGAGTTCTGGCTGGCTGGCTCCACTGGTCTGGCTAGCTGCCCGCAAACACACAAACAATTATTGTATGATCAATGCCCTAAAAAACGCACGGACTGCTGTGCGAGAAAGAAGTGATAAGCAAACACACACTTCAACTCCCAAGAGAGAGATCTCATCTTTCGAGTACAACTGGTGAATCTCGAGCGGGTGGGTTTTCAAGTGGCAAGACACTTGGCTTTCCGGTAGAATCGAAACCGCTACAGAATCAACAAGAAGCACCTGCAGCGAGAGAAACAGCGGGCCAAAAGGACATTGTATCACTGACAGGCACACAGAGCTGATCAGGCTCTGCTTCCCGAGCAATCAGGTAGCTTCGTTGGACGTGGTTCCTGATTGCACGCCACGTCCACCCGCCGGCGGTGTCAGGGTAAATCTGACACTCCGCACACACACGCCCCTCCATGAGGGGCAAGTGATTCATCACAGACCTTTTCAGGAAGAAACACGCGCCCCAAAACCGGGCGAAGACCCCCGCAGAAAACAAACGGAGCAAGGAAAAACAAAAACAGAAAGGCCTCACGTTGGGTCACCGCGGGCAAAACCTGAGGGTCACGGCCAAGGGCAAAATCCGCAAACAGACCAGAAACCCTCCTAAACCTCGTAGACAAAGAAAACCGCGAAGTTGAAGAACGACAAGACGAACAGGCCATCCCTTAACGGGCGAAGAGGAACAACAGGAAGTAGTGGGGAAAGGGGGGGGGAGGGGGCGAAAGAGAGAGAGAAGGAAGAAAAACAGCAAAGAAAGAAAGAAAGAAAGAAAGAAAAAAATAAAGAAAGAAAGAAAGAAAGAAAGAAAGAAAGAAAGAAAGAAAGAAAGGAAGGAAGGAAGGAAGGAAGAAAGAAAGAAAGACTCAAAGGGAGAGAGAAAGACAGCAAGAAAAAGACAAAGAAGGCGAAATGCGTTTTTAGGGCGTCGCAGCCCCGCCCAGGAAAGGAGACAGGAACGAGGACAGGAAGGGAAGAAGGGAGAAAAAAGGAGAAGAAGACAAGGGAACAGAAGGGAAAAGAAGGGGTGGGGGGTAGTGTGTGTACTCAGGGCGTCGCATCCCGCCCAGACAGAAAACCGAGGATGCAGGCCAAGGCTCGAGGAAGAAGACGTCGAATCCCGCAAGGGGCCAAGAGGACGATCACGAAAAAGCAACTGAAGGGGAAGAAGACGTCAAGCCAAACTGCGTGAGGAAAACGAGGAGTAGGAACAGGTAGGCAGACAGGAAGAAGACGACGAGGAGAAAGGTGAACAACGTGAGGACAAACAGGCCATCCCTAAGCGGGCGAAGAGAAGGAAGACAAACGCGCGGGTCACGAAAGACATGAAGAAGAGAACGGGAGGAAGCAGAAGCCATCCCTAAACGGGCGATGAGCCAGAAGACGGACACGCGGACGACGAAGTCGAGAAACACCACCACACACACACACCACACACACACACACACACCCACACACACACACACACCCACCCACCCACGCACGCACGCGCGCACGCACGCACGCACGCACGCACGCACGCACGCACGCGCGCACGCGCGCACGCACGCACGCACGCACGCACGCACGCACGCACGCACGCACGCACACACACCACACACACACACCCTTTCCGCCTCCTCCATGAGATATGACGCTGTCTTCCCTTTAGTGAAACCTCGTGTCTGCTTAAATGTGAAATTCCGCTGGTCTATGATCAGAACTTTGAGGTCAAATTTTCTGGCAAGGCCGGCCTGGCCGAGGGATCAGGCTCTGCTTCCCGTGCAATCAGGTGGCTTCGTTGGACGTGGTTCCTGATTGCACGCCACGTCCCTGGTGGTGTCAGGGTAAATCTGACACTCCGCACACACGCACACAGAAACACAGAAACACAGAAACACACACGATTGGATATTTCTGCTCCTGCCATTTCCCTATTCTTGTGCATTCTCGCTTGTTTGTGTCCAAGGCACATATTGCTATACTTGGTGCAAACAACAGTTCGCTAGTTCAAGAAACAAATATGTATAATATTGAACACGCCAACTGGACGGCGTAAGATTTGGGTCGCTCCAACTTCTGTCTGACTTTATCCTGTCTTCCCAAATTTGGCTGGGGTTGCTGTTGGAGTCATTGGATCAAAGCTCCGTCTTCATTCGAATAGGCCCTTGACGGCCGGTTGGGTCCAAGGCTTCGGAAGCCGAAGAAACGCAGCCGGAAGCACCGGAAACCAACCGGACTGCCTCTTGGGCACCATGCAGTAGTAGGAGCCGGGGTTGGTCCGCCCAGTGCGGCCGCGCCGTTGCTTCAGTGAGGCATGGCAGCACCAGGTCGTCATCAAACAGGACATCTTTGCCTGATCAGTTTGATTGTATGCGCTCTTGTATGCATCAGTGAAAGCGTCCTAGTGTGCATCCCAGTGCATCCATTGTATGAATCCTTGTATGCCCTCTTCATTGCATCTTTGCACGTGCTCTTGTTTGCATCCTCACATGCCTTCTTGCGCACACTTTTGTATGTCTTGTTGGATGCGTCCTTGCAAGCGCCTGTGCATGCGTCCTTGCAAAAGCTTCTGTATGCGTCCTTGCGTGCGATCTTGAAAGTGTCCTTGTATGCGCACCTGCATGCGAACTTGAAAAGGTGTGTGTGTGTGTGTGTCTTGGTAATCATGTGTCTTTCTACGCGTGGTCAATGCACCTCTCTGTGCGCGATTGTATGTACCTCCCCTGATTTGTATCTTTGTGTGGGCCCCGCATCCTCCTATGAGCCCCCTTCTGTGCATCTTCAGCCCAGAATGCACACCCATGTATGCGTCCTTGTGTCCTTGCATCCTCCTAATGTGTCCTTGTGTAAGCCCATATGTGCGTCCGTGTATGCATCCCAGCCTTTGCATGCGTCTATGTACTGTCATCCTTTCAAGTGTTCCTGTGTGCGTCCTTGCAAATTTGTACGCATCCTCGTATACATCCTTGCACGCAGTCTTGTGTGCGTCACCCCGCTTGGCCTTTGGACGCAAACCTGGCAAGGCGGAAGCTAGCCTCGTCGTCGTAGACACTGACGCGGTGCAGAGCCGAGTCCAGGACGGCCCCAACCCCAGGCACTGTCAAGGAGGATTCCGCAATGTTGGTGGCCAGCACAACCTGACAAGAAGCTTGGCTCGCCGTTCATTCATATCGATGCACTCTGAACGCGCGACTGGCAGAGTCCCATGCCCCGCCTTCCACTGGTCCGGGGTGACCGGATCCAAGGCCCGTCTGTATGTCTCCTCTTCCAGGGAAGAGTGCATGAGGATGACGTCCGGCTCAGGCATGTCCGGGTTGAGCTTCCTGCGCTGGAGAACCCTGTCCTTGAGCTTTTTTTCCAGCTCCACCATCTGATCCAGGCCCGGCAGGAAGACCAAGACCACCTGGACCTGGCCAGGGCTTTTTGAGGGCACTGAACACTCAGGAATCCGTAATCTATTGTAGAATACACAGAACACACTCCGAAAGAGCGAAAGACCAAACTCACCTGACGGTCATAGAGCCAGCAGATCAGGTTCGCGGCTGCGGGTGCCAACTTCTTGCAGAGAGTCGAGAGCAGATCCGACTGAGCCCGTGGGGTCTTCTGCTTCAGATGGCACGGCAGCGCCTCCGAGAAGTTCAAGCTGCACATGACGTGCGGGGGGAGGTCCTGAAAGGCTCGCCGCTCACGGGCAATGTCAGAAACAAAAGAAGGAACGGAATCAAACGGAATCAATGATGTGTGTTTGATGTCGGGCTTCAAAGATTCAAACACACAACAAACAACCCACATCTCAAGCTACACTTTTCATCACACCCGGGCCTCTGCCTCCCAAAAGAAGTCCGTCACTTCGAACGGTGTGCTGCCCGGCAGGGTGATGCTGGCAAGCTCGGCTTTGCCGGGAGATGGCAGCAACACAGGCCTCGGCAGAGATGCGTCACAGGTCGAATGTGAAGAAAAAGTCATCGAATCGTAGGCGTCTTCCGCTTCAACCGCGCATGCCCAAGCTCCGAGACACGGGAAACCTCGCATTGGAGTATCCCGAAATCCCATTGACCAAGGCCATTTGGGAAGCCCTCTCTGAGCGGAAACACCGCGCCTGAAGAACTTGCCGAGGGCCTTCTGCAGCGTGGCAGACATCACCACCACGCGCTGCCGCAGCGTCCCTGGCCTTGACAGCGAAAGCCGCAGCAGCGCCATCAAGAAGTCAGCCTCAACGAAGCGCTCATGTACCTCGTCCAGCACCACGTGGCTGAAGGTCTCCAGGTAGCCCCTAAAGAAAGCGCATCAAACGCCTCTTTCTCTGAAGAAACAAAAAGAAGAATCAGGTGAAATTCAGGAACTGCCTCCCAGTTGCTGCACGTGTGTTCAGGGCAACTTAATTTGACATCAATGCCAACATACTATGCCAACACAAGTCCACTGGTTGCATGCACTGTGATGTGCGTGTTTCTTCAGATTTCCTGGGCTGCCAGGCGGGTTGTGCACCAAAGCCTCCAAGAAATGGCCCACGGTCACGTAGACCACCAGCGCTCCTTTGTCTTGCTTGTCGCTGCCCACGCGGTATCCCACCAACTCCCCCACCGGCCGGCCGACCTGCGCACGCCAAGCGCACGAGAAAGACACAGGAGACACACGTAACACGCCTGCGGACTTCGCCCCATCAGAAACCATCGAGAGTTGAGGGAAAGGGCGCACATCGGGGTTTCTTTCCTCCAAGTTAGGTGCCAGCAACAGCCGCTCCTTGGGGGAAGCCCTCAGGTTTCAAATGAACCCATCAGAGGATCCTGATCTGAGACACTCGCCCCGACTCGCCCCCATGGGCGTATCTTCTGTTGATGACCCTTTTTGGGAAGGCTGGGCTGCCTGCGCCCCGTCTTCACGCCCTATTTGCGTGGCTTGTGTGGTCCCGAACCTTCCCGCCACCTGGACGACTTCCCATCTTAACTACCTTCCATGGTGACAGTGGCGCTGCTTCTCAGATTTGTCCAGCTTGTTTGATTACACTTCTGACTCACCCAAAAACATGGACAGCGGGAGCTTCTTCTCAAACTCCAAGTCCGGTACCCAATGTAACTTATGTATCCCACGGGGGACGTTCGCGGCGCCTGCTGCGAGACCCGCGCAGCCAGGCCCTTGGCCGCAATGCGCCGCGGCTGCGTGACCACCACCCGGCAGTCCCGGCCCGCCTGGCACCATTTGGCTCACGCGAGTTGCGGCCTTTGCCCACGCTCTACATGTTGCAACGCGCCGTTGAGTAGACAAATATTTCTCAAATAAATAGGAGATTGCTTGTTTCTGGGTCCCTTCACTGACACAACTGTCCGAATCGGTCCAAGCCACTTCTAAGTTTCCTCAAACACGTGCGCTTCTCTTTCTGTGTGTGTGCCTGTGCGTCTGTGTGTCTCTGTGTGTGTGTGTCTGTTTGTATGCCGTGTGTGCATGTGTGTGTGTGTGTGTCTGCATTGCATTGGTCAGCTGTTCAGCATATACATGACAGGCTCCTCCTGTAACCTGGCCCGACGCACCTACTTCTTAGTTCAAAACCAATCTCAGTCGAACAACCCACTTATCCCGAGCGGCAGTAGGTTTCCTTCGAGGCAGCGCTGACATTTGGCTTTCACAGCAAACAACAGCAATTACATAAAGCTTACAGTAAGACGACTTAATACCATGCAATACTACACGCCCATGCAAAAAGCAAAGTGGGAAAGCACGGAAAAAGGAATCAATGACATCCAAACAGACAGAAACAAACACACAACTGCACAATCGGTATCCATTCTCAAAGCCAAAGCAGTGTGCTTGGAAGGAAGGTGCACAAGTGAAGTTCCCCCGATTCCCTTCCAAAACATTCCCAGTTGCTCAAACTCCATGGGCATGCCGCGATGTATGACTCCGGTCACTTTGAGGCCAGCATCGACCAGAATAACTCGAAGAATGGCTTGTTTGAAAAAAAATACACCAGCATAGACCCCAAATAGCAATGATTGCACACCAGCACCTCCAACAGCACCCCCCGAAGAGAGCCCTACCCGGCCATCAATCGAGCGCCCACGCCATCACAAGCACCTCCAACAGCACCCCAAAACGAGCACCCCAAACAGCACCCCCCACGCACCCAGCCGCCAATCTCGTGAAAACCAAACGGCGCCCCAAACATCCCAAAACACCACCTGCACCAGCAGCCCAAGCTGCATGCCCCCTAGCACTCCACCGTCAATCTTGAAAAAATGCGCCTGCACTGCCATCAGCGCCTCAAACAACACCCCAATCAGCACCCACACCAGCACCCCAAACTGCACGCTCCCTAGCACCAGCCCATCAATCTCGCAAATCACTTCCTCCTCTTTATTAGAAGTTAGAACCCCTAAAGCTTTCAGCTATCTGGGGAATGAAGAAACTGTCTCAAGACTCAAGACTTTTTCAAGACTTTCTCAGGAGATCCTCGGCTCGGAGTCGCCTGGAGGCATTGGTGCGCCAGGCAGAGCGGCACTAAGGTGGACTTCCCGGAGCCTGTGGCCGCGTCGATCACCACCACGCCTGACACCGAAACGCGACTGCAAGCGACTTGTGACGCGTGTCCAAAGTGTCCAAATATGTCCAAATAGACGAAACAAGCAGTCCATGCCGCCTCAGGAAGCCAAGACATGGCGTAGACATGCCAAGGGGCGGTTCTCTGCGATCAGCCGCTGGAGGTCTCCACATTTCTCGTGCATGGGCAGGTTGCTGCCCACATTGAGGCCTGCACGGGCAGCGAGGTCTGTCAGGGCACGAGTGCGACTTCCCGACGCTCCGCATGCTCCGCTCAGAAACGGCACCTTGCTCCACCGCTTCGAGGTCTTCCGGCTTGGGGGCGCGGTCCAAGCCCGGCGGCGGCACCGAGGTCAAGGCCTGGCCCTTGGGTGCAGGGGGCGAAAGCCATCGGCTGGGGCCTCAGATCGAAATGGTTAGGCCGGGTTAGGCCCAATTTTGTGTTTCTGGCAGGCACGCACAGAAACACAGAAAAACAGAAACACACACACACACACACACACTTGGCGCATTCGGATCATCCCCTTCATTCCTGGGATGCGGGCTCACTGGTTGGTCGCCATCCTCGCAGGGAGCACAAGGTGCTTCGAACATCGGCGGAAGAAAGCCGCTTCTTCGGGAGGAATTAGGTAGTTAATACTGTCACAAAATTTGGTAAAATAAACAAGCCTACAAGTGTGCAAGGCGCTTCTGCCGCATGTGTTCTTGCGGCCGGGGAACCTAACAGGTAGACAAGCAGTGCTTTAATCAGACTGCAGCGGGTAAAAAGTAATGATTTGCACAAGAGTCGCGACATAAGCGTCTCAGGGCAATAAGGCTAAATAAACCAGCGTAATTACCAAAACACGATTTGCACAGAACTGCATTGACAGCGTGACAGTGTTTCCACGATTGCTCGGTGTTTTCCTGATGAACCGCTTGCTGCATGAATGATCCGGTATCCCAACTCCGTTCAGTCTCTCTCAGCCCTGCCTCTCCCTGAAGGCGCAGCCGCAGTGCGCTGTGATGTACATCAACAATCTGGCCCGTTGCTATGCGGACCGCCAGTGTGCCGTCCGCATTCCTGCTCATAACGACCCCGGGCGTGCCCACCAGGATGCCTGAAATCTCCAGCCCGGGATCGCAAATGTCCACTATGGCTCCGAGGTCCTGGTGGGCAACTGGCAAAGCTACAGGCCCGTGATTGCACATGTATCTGTATCGGTGCCAACATTGCCATACACCCTGCTCATTAGCGCTAAACCATGGAAGACACGGAAAGACATGAGCTGGCAGCTAGCACTTGCAAACAAGCAATTTGCCAAACAAAAGGGCACCCGTGAACCTAACCGCCCAACTTAAAATACCCCAAAACACGACCAGTCGCAAAAGCGTTTAATGTCGGGACCAAAGGAAGGACTGCAAACTTTAGCGGCAGCAAACCGCAACTAGGCATGACACAATTCACGATGGTGGACATCTGAAACACCAGCTGATCTGGAGCCCACGCAGATCAAGCTTGGAAAAAAAATGAGGGGGGGCGTAGGCTTGCAGATTCGCGTGGGTCGGGCCATCCCAGTCACCAACAAGGCTAAACAAGCACGGCGGGGGGGGGGGGGGGCATAAAACATGCAGCCATGCATGAAGTCAATCATAGGCCTGCAGCAAGAGCTAGCTTTTCACCTTCCTGTCGCTCTGGGTCTCAAAAGCCACACTCTCTTCATCTGCAGCCATTGCTTGTGCCAAGCATACCCAATATCTTTGAACAGTCACAAGGGTACCAAGCAAGGCTGCAAACAGGTGCAAAGGCTTCCGCATTTCAATCCTGGCCCCAGAACCCCAGAAACCCCAATCCAGAAAGCCATTCCTCACAACTCCTCGCACATGCAGAATCAAGTGATACAGGTTGAGGGCTGCGGTCCACGGATCTCCCCTCTGCCCGGCCTGGGGCCGTGCTGGTGCCTGCCGCGTTGGGGCTGCTGCGGCTTTGCAGTCAGGCCCGCCCTGCACGAGCCAGCAAACACTGCCGGAAGGCTTGCCGGAGCTTCCAAAATCACCAACTTGAATCACAAGAATCCCCTTCCACAAATCTCATGCAAAGCGTTTGGGCTCGCATGCGCGTCGCGTCCTCGTCCGGAGGCGGAGGGGGTGTGCTAGCTCGGACCTGTGCAAGGCAAGGACAAAAATCCTATTGCAGCCGCTGTGAACAGAACACGTTTACCGTCGGAACTGCGCGCCCTTCCACCTGTCCATATCTATATGGATGTGGATCGTTTGCAATGATTCGGAGAGACATCATCGCTAAACTCGCTGCAAACTCCCGTCTCAGACTAAGTACCAATATGAGAAGCCGTTGCACAAACAAACCACATAGCGCTGCACGCGGTGACGTTGACTACCATCCCAACTATAACATGGCTCAAACAAAAACACACAACTCATCTTTGGCTTTGTCTTTAATATCGGACCAGCAACCAAACCAAGGCAATCGATTGACACACGTGACTAATGTCTTCGAAACTCAACAGGGAAAGAAACACAGCGAACCAGAAACCGGGACCCTTATTAACCCCAGTCCGGTGGGCGAGCGCAACCCCTGTTTCTATGATGGGCATTGAATCCTTGAGCCAAATGGGCATTGCCATTCAGCATGTTCGTGCTATCAACGGGGCCTTCAACATCACAACTCCCCCCTCCCCGTGCTCACTAAGAGACTTGTATTTTACAGGCGCGCTTGAGCTGCGACCTATGTGATGCAAGGTCCTTTACCAGACCATAAGGAGGGCTTACCTATGATTGTTGCACTTTTGTTACTGTTTGGACATCTCAGGCCGGACATCTTTCAGCTTTTCAGGCAAACTGGTTCTGATGCCTAAAAGCTTTAGCGCGTGGTCCCATTTTAAGGGCTGCAGAGCCTTCGTAAAGATATCGGCTGCCTGGAGATCGGTAGCTACATACTTGATTACTACACCCGTGCCGGCACCCCGGCCAACCCCCTTTGAGGGTGGCCCAGCTCCAGCCATAGGTGGGGGGCGTGGCCGTGGGCCCACCCCCCCACCTCCTCCTACAGCAACCCACTTAGGGGGTGCCATAGGTGGGGGGGGTGGCACAGGGCCCACCCCCCTATCTGTTTCAGGGGGTGCTCCAGCCCTCACTGGGGGGGGGTAAGCCTTGTATGGAACCCAGACGCGCACCTGGCAGGAGCAGAAGGCACAAACAAAACAAAAGGACAAAGCCCACCTCTCCGTCAGGCCAGCCCATCTTGACCAGCTGGGCGACCTTTGTGGGGGCCACCCAGCGGTTCTTGGTTCAAGTTGCTCAGCAAGTGCGGACAGGTTCACCTTGTGAGTGCGCTGTATGTGCCGCATCTTTGGGGAGTAACCTTTCTTGGCAACGAGGATAGTGGCTTGGTTATCTTCGTGCAGCACCAACTCAACCCCCAAGCAATTGCTCCCACAAGGTCAAAGAGGGAAGGCCCTCTTGATACAAGGAGAAAGTGAGCGACACGACCTCGGCTTCGGTGGTGGATCTCGACACTGATGTCTGTCGTTTACTCAACCATGCTAACGGGAAATGGGTTTTCGGCCCTTTGAGGACCAAGAAGCCACCGGACGTGGACTTCGCGTCCCTTTCTCCAGCATAGTCGGCATCCGCATACAGAGCGAGGTGAAGATCTTGCGGGTTGTCCTTTATGACACCTACCAACCGGTAGCGCGTGGTCGAGTGGATATACGCGACGAGACGGGCGAGTTGCCTATCGTGGTTGCGAGACCACTTCTGCACGGCGGTTGCTAGGTCACCTATGGGCTTGATGATATCAGGACGCGCTAGTCGTCCATTTCATGAGGAGTTTGCACGCGTTTGGGGCTAGCTCACCAGCTGACTGATCATCTTCAGGAGGAGGTGATCCGTCTGGGCAGAATGGAGTAGTTACCTTCCGGAGCTTCTCGGGCTGAGTGCCGGCTATAGAACAAAACAGTTCTACGGTTTGACGGGCATCGTTCATGTCAAAGGCGACGGCACCCTTTAATGCGCTTACAGCTGCATTCAGATCATGCTCTTGAGACTCTGCGGGAGCGTCTATAAAGACATGATTGCGCCCGAGCACCCTAAAAATCAGCTCGGGAGGCTCTACATTTATCATTTTTGTAAGCTTTTCTCAAAAGGCTTCATGTGCATCTGCGGGACCTGAGAGGGTCAAGCCATCGACATAAGTCGAGAGCATGAGGCCTGCCCCTTTAAAGAAAAAGTTTCCAGGAAACTCTGGGATTTCTTCCCCTCCCAGCTGCTTAAGCAGTTTCTTAAGGTGTGCCTCCCACAGACCTCCTGCGTCAGGGTGACCATATAGGGCACGAATCAACAAGACCACGCGTTTCACGAACTTGGAACCCCATTTTTTTGGCCGCAGCTCAGGCGGCAGTTCAATCCACGTCTGTGAGCTAAGGAACGCCTAGACATAGGCTTTTGCCGCCAGCGGTGGTAACCTTGTGTCCTGGGATGCACCCATATGCCAGGCAGGCGTTCAGGCCTTGTACCGAGGTGGGGTTTGCCCCCAGTTCTTGGTACACCGCGGGTGCACCGGCTTCATCTTTTGCGCAATCTCCCCTGAACACGATGCGCCCTTTTACCTTCTGGAGGTGCTTCGCAAGTTCATAGAACTTGATACTGGCGATCGTCATGAGCTGACCAAAGTGCACTTTTATTTCGGATTGTCGCGCTTGAGCTGCGACCTCAGCCTTCTCCCGGACAGTTGAATTATCCCATACTCCGACATCTTGGAGTCCGGTCGCCTCCTGCTTGATTGCCTCTAATGCTTCAGGAGATGCAAGCATCTCGGAACGAGACAGGAGTTTGGCGACCATTGCATGCGCTCTGTTTCGACAGCTTTGGCGGGCATGCCGACAGCACTGGCAAGTAGACCCTGGACATCAAGGAGTTCCTCAACAATCTCTTTCGTCTTAGAGTCTGATTCGACGAGGAGGGTGAAGTCATCTGCTCCGGAAAGAGGAGATTCGTGCTTTAGGGATTGCTCCTTAACACGATGCTCCGTCTGCTGAGTGACCGGAACAACTGGCATTGCTTGAATCGGAGTCCTACACACTTTGGGATACAGCGCTTTGGCGATCAAACCACACATTTGCTCAGGATAGAATGCAGCGCGGGAGGTTCGGCTCCCTGGCGCTGGAGTATGTTTGTCGGACTTTGAGCGCGGACACTGGCGATCAGCGAATGCTTCGGCAAGGGCCTTTGATGTAGTTTTTATGTGCCACGGCTTCTTGATGGGTGAACCATTTTCATCCGTCAAACCAACAGCACAGCCATGAAACGAAACACCATGGAACACATCCTTGTGGCGTTCGAAAAACTCGGCAACGTCTGGTCTCTGCCAACCTTCGCAGTCACGCGGCCACTCGAAAGTGACTGATCCACCGGCCTTCAAAACATGCTCGGCGCGCAACCCAAACTTTGAAAACATCACTTTGGATTGCTTGACTTTTTCCCCTAACTTTTTCTTGAACGGCTCACCCAATCTGTGAAGGTTCAGCCTCTGCCAAGGTGATCCTGAGACACATGGAATGGCTGCCCACAAGTTGGGTTGGACACACTGCGCTCGTCCGCAACGGCTGACTCTAAGTCAATGTACTCCTTTGCTAATCGGACATGTGGGATGTTGAGATCCTTGAACACATTACCCATTGAGGAATTAGGTGAACAAGCAAATTCAAACATCGGGCCAACAGCATCACGCGCTAGGCGCTTGCGAGCACGCTTGTTGCCAACGGTAAGCGGAGGGCGTTCATCGCTCCTCCTTGAAGCTGGCAAGGGTTACCGAAAACGGACGGCTTCTCTTTCGTGGTCTCAGCTAGTGTTGTGCTGGAAGCGGTTGACACGGTGACGGCTGCTCCTGAGCTGACTGGCATGTTACCCTCGTGAGGACTGAGCCCCCCTGCTGCGCATATATGGTGAAGCCTTCAAGCTTTTTGAATTGAGAAAAAAGTTGGGAATCCCTTCGCACGCTCATGCGCGCTCATGCCTCTAGTTTGAGTTCAAGCTGTCGAACCTTGAAAGTTCATCAGTCGCAGCGCCCTGCCCGCCCGAATCGATCCCTACCATTTATTTCCTCATATATAACATAGAAACATGTTTCTATGTGTGGGTGTAAATAACGGTTGCCCTCCCCTGCCCCCCGCCAAACTCCGCACATATATATATATATATACATATAGAGGAAAAATACACAGCCACGTTTCTATCTTCGATGTGTATATATATATATATAGGTCGCCCTCCCCTTCAACCCCATTCGTGTTTTTTGTTTTCCATTCTTCTTCAAACAAGTGTGTTTCACACGAGGCACGCTCTGGACGCGCGCCAGTCCAACCGTACACAGCCGGTGCCGCTATACAGCCGGTGCCACTATACAGCCGGTGCCACTACCCAGCCGGTGCCGCACATATAGCCGATTAGACCGTGCTGGTAAAGCTGCAGCCGAATGTCCGGAATCACTATATAACCTAAGAATGGCTATGCCAGTCCAGAACGCAGGGAGTTCTCGATGTGCTGAGAATCTGCCTGCCCAACCATCCCTGATATCTTCCTTGCTACCATCTTGCTGGGACACAACGCGAGTGGTCCTACCGGGTGTGATTCTGCACACTGACACGGGACAATCACCGACATCCTTGGGAGTGAAAAGTTTAATCCTAGGCTGATGATGCACGCGGATTAGCACGTTACCACTAGGCTTATAAACCCATTCATCCTTCTTGGTTGATGCGGGGACAGCGTCGGTATGCGGAACACTGGGCCGAGAAGAGGCGGGCTCTCCAAGCATCTCTCGGGGTCTCCCTCCTCAGGAGCCTCGATCTCTAGGGCTTCTGGGGTTTCTAGGGAGGCGGCCTTTGCAGCGCGTATAGCAGCTGCCTCATCTGCACCCTTACTTGGTTTGTTGGCCTCCTCACTTGCGGCCTTTTTGGCCTTCGCTTCTTCCTTTTCACTTTCAACTAGCTCTGCAAACCTTTTGCGACATTCGTCAGCGTGATGCCTAGAACTAGCATGGCCGGTGCAGGCCTTGCATCCAGGAGTCTCCTTGAAATTGATAATCCGTTCAATGGTGATGTATACACTTCGTGACTTAAAGCCTGACGGAGTTGACGGGGCAGG